TTTTAAATAATATTTACAAATTAAAAAACTACATAAAAAGTAGTATAAGTCACAATAACAATTGACTCTTGAAATCCGAGTAGTATCAAACAAATTGAGATAGAGGAAGTATATATCATAGTAAAGGAAAAAACTTGACTAGAGGATAGAGGGGGAGCGATACACACTTCAAATCTGCAACAATGTCTGCACAAGATACAATAGGATGTCCGCAAGCTTTATCAACCTCCGACTTGATTTTGTCAATCACTTCAAATCCTCTAATAGAATTATTATTAGGTCTAGCAGTCTTTTCACTGTCAATAGTCTCCGTTTGGTCAAGAAGAATCGAAGCATCACAGCCCTTCATTTACAAGAAACATTAGTAACATATCTAAACTCTAATTTTAAAATACTGAGTTGATCGATCTAATCTAATTTAACTTTAAAAACTAGTCAAATTGACTCTCGAGAAGCAAAAAATATCAGTCTTTTCACTGTCAATAGTCGCCGTTTGATCAAGAAGTATCGAAGCATCACAACCCTTCATTAACAAAACATGCATTAGTAACGACATCTCAAGCATTAACCAAAAGCAATGAATTCATTCCCAACTTCAAGATTTTAGGTTGAATACTCAGATGCTTTCACAAATAGAAATTGGGATGAAATGAAAAATATTAATTAGTGCGAGAAACATATAAGCTCACATTAACGAAGCAATCATGAAAATGCAGACGTAGGAGCGAAGCGCCCATTCGTCTCTCTTGGCGGACAGCATCCTCAACAACCCGTTTAATGGTTGGTAAAGCTTCAGGACAAACATCATCATAGAAATCATTTGATAAATCCGAAAATACCATGACTGTTAAAGATAACATGATCAACACATGAAGAAAGAAGAAGCTACTTGAAACCATTTTTGATAATTAGTTTTTACTATAGTCTATGAAGTTCTGCACTTTCTATACATGTGATGTTACTGATTTTGTGTGATGAGAGTAGTAAAATGTGGCTATATTTATAGATTAGAAAAATGTTTACTATTATAACACGATCGACAATGTTTCTAGGTTTAGCAACTCTCACAAGAAATGAGCAAGACTTTGACAATTTCTAAGAAGAAAGTTTTTTTTTTTTTTTTTTTTTTTTTTTTTTTTTTTAATGTTCTGGTCTTTTGTATCAATGCATGCATGAAAAGTTCAAACTTGGTATTTTTCAAATATTATATTTATGATAACTAAGACTAAACCTACTATTTAGGTAACGTATAGATTAACACCATATCATTTTTGACTTAGTAGATAATATGGGAGGTGCTGATTATGGGGAAAATATTGTTAAACGTTTGAAATTTTTATTTTTCTAGCTTCAGCAAAATATACATATATTCACATATAAGAACAATGATTCTTATTTCTCTCTTATTGTTTATTTTACGTGCTTTAATTATCACTTGTACATACTCTTAAGACAGTAAGAGATGAAATACTGAATCAATTATAGTCAGTGACAAAGATTTTTGTAAGAGAAAAACTAAAGAATATCAAACATTTTCTCCGGGGATAGATATAGCCAAAATATTTACTTCACAAGAATGATATCATATGAGGGATTAATCAAGGAGCTATGCGCACTAATTATAATATAAGCAACTACCATGCTACTTTAAGGATTTTGATTAATAGTTTTTGTAATAAATAAATTATCAAAAGGTTGTCTGTTAGCGCTGCTCTTGCGACATGATAAAGTGTCGGCTACTTTTAGGGTTTATTTTATTTTAAAAGAAGAAGGAAAAAAAGGGAAAATAAAGAAAAACGGTTTACTGGCGGGGTTGCGTTTGCAACATGAAATTCTCAAGGAGAAGATTAAGAGGCCGTTACAGCAAGTTTACTTGTAGCCACCAGAGAAGGATTGAGATTTTTTAATTCCCCTTAATGACATCTATTTGTTTGTCATACAAATATATTAATATTTAGTACTTATTTGTTTGGTTATTTTCGTCGTGCAAAGATTCAGAATTACTAACTTATAAAGTTAGACTCTTGTTCACTTTAAACCATGAAAACAAAGATTAGAAACCGACTTTAAAGTTGCGATTTTGTGACATGAAGTTTTAAGGAACGGAGGTAATTTTGTCCTCCTTTATTTGATGCCAGAAAGGATTTTAGTTTCGATTATGTGATTGTAACATGACCCATTACAATCCATTCAATATTGTTTTATGGTTTGTGTTTACCTCGAAAATGATAATTACAATTAGATTTGATTTTGTGATTCTAAAAATACGTGATTTATTTTTATGCTAGTTGTTAGGCAGTAGATGTTAAGTGTGAGACTAAAAAATAAGATAAGAGCTTGAAGATAGTATGTTATGCAAACCGAGTGGCCGAGAATCGGGACCTCGAGCCAGACTATACGGGGCCTCGGGGTCGAGCTAAGCGTCAGGCCGTGAACGGCCGATAAAGGACTAACAGTTCTAAGAGCTTTAGTGACGGCTCTTTATGATCAATGATAAATAATAAATGAAGAACAATCAATGAAACGCAATAAATCTATATATATAATTGAGGGGTATTGACTGATGACACGGCATGTCTCTTCGACAGGAATACACATTTTTCTTAATTCTCACAAATTTTCCTTCTTTGACCGTTTATTTGCTATCTTAATTACAAATCGAAAAGGCACTTCTTCAAATCTCTTAATTGCACTTTCTCTATTTCCTTCAACTTCTCCTATTATTTCTCCCACCATTTCCTCAACAGTTGTAACGCTTGCACAATAGGTTTTTCCTGCATGCACCTAATAGGCGCGCGTGTAAAATTTACTTTACATTCTTTGCCTCTATCCTTTTCCTACCTTCTTTTATCCTCACAATCTAAATTCTTTCTCAAAATTTCTGCCATTGCCATTCATGATAGAAGAATGAATGCTGGTGAAAAACGAATGCGATAATAATGTCAGCGATAACTAATAAGGAGAATGAGAGTTCCGGAGAATGAGAGTTCCACCACCAACGTTTCATTGTGAAGGTGGTGCCAAGCAAGTCAACCATTAATCCATACATTTTGAAGGTAATTAACAATACTAATTTTAATTACTTATTAACAATGATAAAGTACAACAGTATAGATAATTATGCACTAAACTTTTGTTTGTGTCGTAGATGATTAAAACGGCCATTTTATAGAGTTCAATATACTTTGAATCTTGATGAGTACAAGATCTCATCTTGTTATGAGGGAAAGACAAAATAAAACAATTTATTACATGGTAATTATTTCCAGTATTAACAGTCAATGGAATTAGTTTTTGCTTTCTTTACTTAAAATATATTTTGTTAACTGATTTTTTCTTAAAATTTTTAAATGCTCTGCTTTGCGAATTATTGAAATGCATGAGCAACTGTAAGTAAGGCAATAATCTTTCAACTTTTAGAATTTGCACAAAGTTAGTTTTGGTTCGTTTTCTTATTTTAAGTTTTGTGTAACTGATATTTTCTCAATTTAATTGTTATATAAATATTTGTAATTTTTATTCCTAAACGTGTTTGCCATTTTTATTACACGTTTGTCATTTATCTTTTTCCTCCATTTTTTGGGGTGTTTTGTACTATTACAAGTTTGTCATTTATCTTTTTCCTCCATTTTTTGGGTTGTTTTGTACTATTTTCCCATTTAACTCATTAATAATTAAACTAAAAGGTGCCTATTGAAGAAGCATAACGGCTGTATTCTCAAATTACGACCAATTACGATTGCTATTTATGTTCTCAAAGATCATATTTTTTTGAAAATTCTGGAAGCGCTGCAACATTTAATAAACAAAAAACTCCTGCCTAATCAATAGGCACGTTACATGATTGTTGTAATTTGAAGTAGTAACGTAACAAAATCGATGTGTCCCTCTTCCTCTTCGGAATCAATCATGGACTCTTCTTTCAAAAGCTTTTAGGTGATAAATCTTCAGTTAAGAAAGTTCCTTATGAATTATGATCAATCATCATATACGGATGATAGAATCGGAAAGTAAAGCATACAATATAATTTATACTCGGTTGTCTTTGAAAATGGAATGGCAAATTCTCTAGCACTAAATTACTCTGAACCATTCTTAGTTAGATAAAAGTCATATAAGCTTTCTTGATAATATATACCTATACATTTCTATGGACTATTTGCTTTAAATAAATCAATATTATGGACTAACACATTTTTAACCTAAATGTATGTTGTTTATAATAATTCTTTTTGATAGTATTTTAAATTTGGTATTAATCTATTGATTTCTTCGTAAAGTGACAAATGTCTTTTAGGATCGCGCGAAGCGTGGGTAAACTTACTAGTGTAAGTAATAAATCAAAGGAAAAACAATAGAGAGTGTTTAAGTTAGGGAGCAGGGAATGTTCTTGTTCTTGTATTGAATATCATGTGTGCAAAAAATAACAAGGGTCCCCTTTATATAGGAAGGGGAATCCCAACATAGTACATATGCATTTATTACAAAGATAAATGGCTGGTACCACCATTTAATGCCACGGTACGAGATCGTACTATTCTTATGGACTTGGTCAGCTCTAACCACTCGCTTTGGGAACCTTCCACTCGTTCCTCATAGCCATTGATTTGTACTGCCCCAAGGTCGAACTGTGCCTCGAGCCTTCTAGTTCTTCAAACCTCGAGCTGTGCCTCGAGCCTTCTAGCAACGAACTATGGAATGCCATGGTGACCCTAAAATTGGACTGTCCGATTTAGCCGTATACAGATAGTCCCCGCCTTTCTTAGAGTGAAATGATAAGAAACGGTCTTGATATCTTGCCTCTTCGATACTCCTATTATGACGTCAGCCCATTAGAGCATTAAATGCCATGACCAGAAGGTTGCGAAGAGGTCGCTGTTAATTACGATTATCGAGAAGCCCATGAACCATCATTGGTTCGACTTTTCCGCTCCTCAAACGTCGCCCAGATGGCTTCTATAAACACTTCAATTTGTTTTGCCATTCACACTTTTACAATATCAAGTTCTTAGGGCTAAGTTCACCATCTTCTACATTCATCTCCTTTCTGTGCTTGCGTCTTCATCCTCTTTCTTAGAAACCTTTTTTATGGTTATGGCTAGAACCTCTAGAACGGTACCTCAGAAAGAGGGAGTCGCTTCTTCATCACGCCTGTCCAAGGGCAAACAAAAAGTACCTCCGAGCATCGAACATTGTACCCCTAACAACTTCGATATTGTGTCCGATTTTACCATAGAAAACCCCCCTTCTACATCGGGCCGATGCTAACCCTTGTCTCGGTACATCAGCGTGGTGACCGACATGAATAGGGTAAAGGAAGACTGCCAATGGGGGGAGGCACTACAAGAGAAGATCCCCAAACCTGAGGAAAGCATAGTAGACTACAAAGCTGGCTTTCTCAGCATATATACATACCCATTTACTCTAGGTCTCGTAGATCCTTATTCCCCAAAGATCGATCCGGTGATTCTTGATTTTTGTCGTGAGTACCGAGTGACACTCGGTCAAAACTATCATTCTTTTTGGAGGATTCGTTACATACTCCGATATTTCTCTAATTGGGTTAAGGGAATGACTTTCACCCTCGATCACTTGGTCAGGTTGTACATCCCTCATCTCTTCCGAGGTTTGATCAAGCTCCATCCTCGATCCGCGAAGAAGTTCTTTTCAAGCATCGATGGGGAAAAGGATCGGGGGTGGATGAACTGGTTTGTCAGAGTTAGGACATCGTTCATCATCCCGGCTGATAGGATGCCATTCCCGGAGGAATGGAACATGAAGCATAAGTGTCCCTACCTCGAGTACGTTTAATTCCCCCTACTTTCTCCTTCTAAAGTAATCTTCTTTTGATTATGCAGCTACCGTTTGGTACCCCGACGCAGTTCAAAACCTTTCGGGGTAGATCATACAATTAGACTTCGCTTTTCCTTACAACGAACATGCTTGGCACATTTTGGCCAAGGCGCGGTGGCAGGCTAAG